GATAGGCAGGATAAATAATTTGGAGATGAAAAGAACGGGACCAATGGTTCGGGGTGGGGGGGATACAGGAGAAAGGGAGTTGGGAGAAAGGAAAGGGGGGGGGGGGAGTCGGTAATGGAATTTGTCCCGTTTCTGAAGCCCCTTCATACATATACCAAATGTTGGTTAGATAAGAAAAGGGGCAAAACAGGAGTATGTACCTATGCCAATGGCCATATTATTTACACATTTTCAAGCTATAAGGAATTAAAACTGCAACAGGTTTTCTGTCTGGTGGTTGGATTTGCTTTCAGAAACCTGAGGTCAGGATTGTTTAAGAGACCTACACACCAGTCCTTGTTCAACAGGGCCTCCTACCACCTTCCAAGTCCGAAATCCCTTTAGCATGAAGGAAGCCAAGGTCGCAGGACAAGTCCGGACATGCCACACAGGGCAGATCAGCTGATTCTCTGCCTCCTCCTAATGAAAACAGCTGCCTTTATCTCAATCAAGAACAGAATCGTTTAAATGCCTTGCAGAAAAGTTTTAAATGCCTACTGCAAGGCGTTAGACTAATAATTTCTAAGAGCCAGACAATTTATACAGCACACTGTCTCTGTGCAAAGAAACGTGATTTCTGCACTTTCGCCCTGTTAATCTCAAAGCTTCTCTCAATGAGTCAACAGCGTACCCATTCAAAAGGCTGGAACAAAGCCTGGAGAGAGGAAGTGAATTTGGCAGATTAAACACAGCAAGGAGGAAGACAGCTGAAGAAATCTCCCACCGTAGTCCTTCCTAATTCACTTCAACCTCCTCCAACATCCCAACCACTTCCACCACTACTCTACCTGGGCCTCCGCCACCTCTCTCAAGGTCCACAGTCAACCAAGGCCCAAGGCATTCCCAAAACAAAAGCATCTGATGGAGCCCTTGCTCCTAAAATTCCTTAAACCCAACCAAACTTCCTGGGTCTCCAACCTGTGTAACAAGGCCCCTCTTCCATCTCAGGCCTAAACATCGCTAGGTGAGATTCCCATTACTCCCTCAACTTCCTGCCATCCCTGAAGGCCACCCTTCCATCACCACCCCCAGGCCCACCTTTCTTCAGCAAGTGAGCAGCTGAGCATTTATCACATGCCTCAAAACCTAACCAAACTTACTGCTGTCCAGTCAATTCTGACTCAGAGTGACTGCACAAGGCAGGGCAAACCTGCTCCTGTGGGTTTAGAAATTCAAAGGGAGTTGAAAGCCCCATCTTTCTCCCATGGAGCGGCTGGTGGTTTCAAACTCCTGAACCTGAGGTTAATAGCCCAATGTGTAAAACACTCTGCCACCAAGGTTCTCAGTGCCCAACAGGTAGCAAACTCTGTGTTCGCTCTCCCGACCCTGCAATTACTTTGGCCTGGCGCACCTTCCACCGAGGTCAATGATGCCGAGCCTCCATCCACTCCAACCCCTTGTGCCGAGTAAACCCGGACTCATGGCACTTTGCTTCTGGATTCTAAGCACCCTGAGGCCCCCTTAACGTCCAATTCCTGCTGGGGCCAATCGTGCCTTTCAAGGAGAGCTCTCCGCCTCAGGTTGCAGCTTTTTCCTACTCAAGCAATTCTGACACAACAGCCATTGTGCCCTTACACAATACAAACAGCACCCCAAGAAAAACGCAAAAAAGGTCCAAAAATATAGAAGTAACAATAAAAATCAAAACCCCACAGAAACAAATGTTGATTACTTCTGGTTTTAGTTTCTTATACCATCACTGTCGCCTCCCCTTTAATGAAAACAGTTAACAATGCGCTCTCTACAACCTGGAGGATAAACATGCACAAAATCATTCTACAAGGAGCCCTGGTGGGCTGCAATACTAAGGTCAGCAGTTCAAAACCACCACCAGCTGCTCCTCGGGAGAAAGGCAGGGCAGCTACTACAGGTTCAGAACTTGCAGGGCAGTTCTACCCCATCCCCTAAGGACCCGATGAGTCCGCGTCCACTCAGTGGCGTGAGCTTGGTGTTTGGTTTGGCACATGGTACTGTGAATGTAACCTTGTAAACAGAAATTGACAGCCACTTTCTCCAAGTTTTCTTGTGTATCCTTCCTTCTATTCCCTCCCCAAATCTTAAAACACTGAATTTGTCTAACAGAAAAACCTATTTTCTAACTTTTTTCCAAGATAAAGGTATATACTGCTCAACAACTCAAACCAGTTACCACTCCTCTCAAATATACAGAAAAACAAAAATGCACAAAATAAGTCTGTTATCAAAACTCGGCAACCTCACTTTTAAGTCAATCACTTCGTGTAATATATTCTTCTCAATATAAGTAAACAACGCTAAAAAACTAAGCTCAGGGGGGAAAAAATACAAAATGGGAACTATGGAATTAACTAGGTACAGGTTTTTCTCAGCTTACAGGTGAGCTTTAAATGAATTTACATATGTAAACTTCTTTGCTAATCACCAATTAGTTACGTATCTTTTCCAAACTCTGATGCCATGTGGTCACCCTTCGGGATGTGTAACAGCAATACACAAACACTGAAGCATTAAAAACCAACGTCTCTACACCACCACATGCAAACCAGAAAAAATGGCACATAAAACCCTATGCAACCAAGTAAACGTTCTAGAAAGTTTACATTTAAAAGAAGAAAACAGATGATACTTGTCTGGCAATTTTCACAATCTCCAGTGAACTTCCCAGTATCCACTGGTAAACATCAGAGTTTCCTATGACAGTTAGGAAAACTCTGTATGTGATACTCAGGGAAATGTTAACACTGGGTATTTGATACTTAAAGAATGTTTAGGTGTGATAATGGCTTTGGGAGTATGTAAAAAGAGGGGGACCTGCTTTAGCCTTTATGAGATTTACGTTAAGATAATAGAGAAGAGGAATACAGATGAACCAAGATTAGTCATGTGCTACTAACTGCTCTGCTTTATTCTATTTGTGCAGTGTTTTTTTTTTATCTAAAATAACTTTTAAAAGGTCATTGCTTATGGGCAATGTTTTGTTCTGGATTGTCTGCCACCATTACGCAGATTCCTTAATTCATTAGCTTTGCATAATTACAGAAAAAGTCTCTGCAACTGTACAGGCTTTGAAGCCAGCGAGCGGTGCCATAAGGGATATCCTGAATGCTTCCCTATGTAGTGCTCCTCGAACGGACTTCAAACCGCTCTGCCGGGAGGCAGGAGGGAGGCTCCCCAAGAGGAAATGAGAGGGGAAAACTTACTAAGGAACTTGTCCAAACTGTAACCATAAAAAGCTCCCATCTCTACACCACCAACGAATAAACACTCAAGTTCGTTCTTCTCTAGTTTAAAAACTGACAGATCTTCCAGCTTATTTCACTGCACTTCAACATAGATGCTGACCCACGAAGACACAAACAATCCAACTACTGTGTAGCCAGGTCAGAAACCAGCTTTGGCTAACTTACTTGGAAGAGGAGGACACTTAGATTTGGCCAAGAAAAGTAGGTTAGAAGAAGAAGAAGAAAAAAAAACAACCTGGCACTTAAACAGTGGGGCTAGGAAGAATGCCTCTAAGCCAGTACCAGGCTACTCAGTGAGTTGCAACACAACCTTTTCCAAAATTTTCCAAACACTTCCAAATTCAGTTGAGCCCAGCAGCCTGAATTAACAGGGCTCCCTTTCAAATTCAAAAATCTGGCCTGGGCCCCAACAGTTAACCAACAAAACACATGCTAATTCACTTGAGCGAACCTAAAAAAATGGACTCAAGTTCAGACTCGAGGCCCATACAGCCCAAGCTAGAAGGTGGGACTGCTCAAGAGATGGGTAAACAAACCCTCTCATAAAGCATAAGAGAGACAATGGGATCCACACAATGTGGCCTGAGGAAGCATCTATTGTTATCTAACAAGATCTCCCAGCCCTCTCCCCCCACCCACCCAGCCCATTTTAACAAGGTAATGGCAATTCTTCTTGGGGAAACCCCATAGTTTAGCTCCGAAGGTTTTTGTGTTTGTTTTTTCTCCTAACCCTACTTTGTTCCCAACCCGAACAGCTGGGAAACTCCTCCAATACAGAGATGACTTTTTGGAAATCATAGGAAACAAAACCAGGCAGGGCCAATCTATTGTTTTACAGTTTCAAAGCCTTGCTCGTCCATTACCTGCAGGTCTTTCATAATCTTTAAAATAAATGCACAGTGAATAAAACGAACAACAATGTGAGTCACACAGGTGTCAGCTACTCCCCACAGACTCATAAGGTCTGCAGATTTGTTCGTTGTTGATGGGGGGGAGGGGGGCGCGGAGAGGGGAGGAGTTTAAAAAGAGAAAGACCTAGAATGGGTGTGAAACCAGGGCATCCTCTTTATACTCCTCTCTACTCTCACTCATTCCTGTTTCAGTTACACACCTGTCAAACAGGTTATTCCTGGAATTCAGATTTTATAATCTCCTCACAGTAATTCTTCCTGTTGCCCAAAGTCACACCTCTCCCTACTTTCCCAAAACATGTATCCATCAGTACAGTGTATGATAGACAGGGGTTACAAAGAAGTCCCAGTCAAGCACCAAACTCCGCACCTTGGGCACCTGGCAAGCGTTCCAAGAGGGAAGCCTGGTGACCATTTTCAGAATAGCCAAAGCAATTGAAAGGGGGGGAAAAAAATCATTACATGCGGCCTACCCTTGTTGAATTGCAATTAACACACAAATTCAGACAGCCAGATTTGGGGAGGGATTTTTAAAAACGAAGGTTATCTTCATGAAAAATGTTTGTCCATTCCCTGAGAAAAATAAGTGCATGCCTAAGAATGTGGTTTATTTCCCTATCTCAAAGCCAGGAAATGAGGTCTTTTAAGGCCAATCTGAATATAAACTCTGTTTAAAAACATGAGAGACTGCGAGCCGGGAAGCCCCTCGGCTAACTTTGGCCCAGTGGCGTGGCCTGCAGTCAGCAGCGTGTGGATCACCCCTTCTTCTCTCGTCTCCCAACACGAAGTTTCCACACGCCACGGGAAACAAAGAAAGCCCCACACCGACCTTGTAGACTTGTCCATAGGTGCCATTTCCCACCACTTCCACCAGCTCGAAAATCCCAGCAGGGTCCTGGAGAAGAAGGAGGGGAGGGGTTACAATCGAACAGAAAGCCCCCCACCCCC